GCTCTTGGTTTTATTTAACTGCTACAATCACATTAATACCCAGTAGTAAGGCTGTGTCTACATTTCTTTTGTAAAACAGAAGTAATTTTAGGGCTCTTTAGGCGTTTTTCTATGCACTACCAAGTTCTCCACACACTGAAATCATTCCCCCAGGAAAGTGACCTTCTCAGTAAGAAACTTACAGGTATCAAATGACCTGAAAAGATCTTTCAGCAGTTTGGTCAGGATAACATTAATAACCCAGCCCACGGGAGAATATTATGTACCAAAGCCCGTGTGAATTTGATGAATGTGGACTGCAAAGAAACTGACATACCCCCAACACTGTTCACCAGATTGTAAATGAATGAATACCAACTGACTACCTCTGCAGAACCACGAGCTGTCAGGTGGGAAGACTCTTCACCAACTTCCTCAAAAAGTTGCAATTCTGTATTTAGTACAACAAAAATGCTGTCAGCATCTTCTCACCCTAGAACTGAAAGTACTCAAACATGTAAGAAATTTGTTCTGTTATGCTCTTTTATCATATCCAGTTAGGCTACCACAGCAGCTACAAGTACAGTACCATTAAAACATATCAAGGAATCTATATTCCAATACATATATATAGTATATTGAACTGAAGAACAACTACACACTGTGCTTTGAAAGAGTCTGAAGAACTTAAATTTGACATATAGTTTACAGCTCTGGAAAAAGAAATTTTGTTTTACTGTAATCAGTACTTTTATTTGAAATATAAGTCACACCTTCTAAATATATACTCATAATCATAAGTCACCTCAAAATCCTATGTATTTAGGAGTTACAGTGCCCTATCATTAGTTGTTCTAAGCTGATAAAAGACTTTTTTAATGCCGAGTCAGCAATTCAACCAATACGAGCTGTATGTTTTATAGTTAAGGTTGCTATACGAGCAACGTCCTGTACAAAAACCTCCTGCATAAAACTGCCCATAGAACACACCAGTTTTAAAAATGAGGCTATGTCATACAAATAACTATAGACCTATAACTAAGAAAACTATCTGATGCTGAAATATTGAGCTTTGAAGAAAGAAAAATCTTCGAGATCTATCAAAGCCTTGCATATCTGACTTTTACCCTCTCAGCATGGATCAGCAGAACACCCTTTTTTGATGTGAATGGGAATTTTTTTTAAACATTAATTGCCCTACATATGTCAGCAGTGCAGGCTTGGTAATCTTCAAAAAGATAACTGGAAGTGTCACAACCTATAGTATACTTTTTAGTAGGAATAAACAGGAATAAATTTTCTCTAACGGGAAGTTACTGCAGGGAAGAAAGACAGTTTTTGCTCTATCCCCACCTTATGGCTAGAAAAAGAATTTTCCTATTACAGCATACATATTTCTCAATTTTTTTCCTTTACTGTATCACTATAGCCAGAGAATGTTTACTATTTGTATTATGCAACTTAAGATTCTTTTTTAGCAACAGGCACTCCTCCACATACAAGCACAATGAAACTCCAAGGCATAAATGTCCTCTCCAGCATCTGTGTTGATTTTCTGAATCAAAATGTCAGACTTAATGATCCAACATAAATTTAGATTCAAATAGAACAGTGATTATTTGGGCCCTGGCCCACAAAGTACACAAGTTCTTATATTCCTGTTGACTCCATTAGGAGTTAAACATCTCGATCTCTCCATAGATCTAACCTTCACTGATATACCATTCTTAATATTCACACTTTTTTTTTAATATTTTAATGCTAATAATCAGGTGATTTATAGCACTTAGAAAATATTAAACTTACATGACCTACAAATTAAAACAAAAGTATGCATGAATCTAGTGTTAAAGCTTTCACAGCTATCTTCTCTCTTTGCTTATCTTGCAAGCAAAATGATGTGACCACAAGACCTAGAAAAGTGCGTACTCCTCCCGAGAAGACCTACTCAAGTTGGCAAACAGCAGGTCCTCTTTCATCAATCACTCCATACACGAGATGAAACAAAACCAGCAGCAGCACCACCCCACAAGGGAAAACACTCTCTTCCCTCGTAGTCACCTGCTGATCAATAAACATTTTTCTTCTTCTTTTGTGCCTTAATCACTTGTGATACCACTCACTGGCCCAGGGACTAACATTAGCTACATGAAAAGCTGAAAACAAAGACAAGGGCCACCAGTAGTACTTTTGCCAAATTCTTCTATTTCTTCATTTTGACTTTTCCCTCTTTCATTGATGGTCATAGTGAAAGGGTGGGGTAGGATGTGAAACAGAACACTGGGAAAGCTGCAAAGAGAAGAGAGAGAATGGAAAAACTGGATAATGTCTTAGAGTGCCTTTAATTTTTTAGGCCTTCTATCCTGCTTTCCTGAGGAAATGAAGAGTCATAATTGTATTGTTTAAGCACCTCTCCTTCCCAAAATCTCTTGAATCTTACCTTTAAAACCAGAGGAAATTCAATAGGGAGCCAATAGTCTCAATGGTTTCTGAACACTAAATTTCTCAAGGTTTCATGAAAACAGTTGAGTAGAAGAGACACCTTATTAATGCTACAGCATGACTCTTCCCTCAATAATCCTTGCCTTCTTCCTCCTAATGGCAGAGAATCAACACAGGAATTCAAATAAGAAAACCCAATTTCATTAGGCCTTCTACCACAGATCTAGTTTAAAAAGACATTTTCTAGAACTACGTGCTTTGATGCTTTGTCATTAAATAGAGATTCAATAACAGAAAACAGACTATTAGTATATCCTCCAAAGTTATATTAATTGGAAGTGTTCATGAGTATTTATGCTGTAAGGAGTTTTGATTTTAAAAATCCAGTAAGGAGTACTAGGTAGAGAAGAGACTCTATGTGTATACATGAAGGAGTACAGAAGAGCTGCCAAATATGAATATAATTAACCTTATGGTGAACATTCAAGAAGAAGATACTAGAAAAGCATAATAGCATTGTATATTTCTGAATGCTTAACCACACTACAACAATCACATTAATTTTCAATAAGCATTTATTTAAAGTTTAAGAGAGAAACCTGAATACTTGCCAAGCTATTCAGGTCTTCTGAATACCTGCCTGCTTTAGCTACTATGAAACATTCACAAAGTACTGGCAATCTAGTGACAGGACACATTCTGACTCAAACTCCTCAGAGCTTATAGAAAAAAGTCCCTCCTATAAAAAAAAAAGGCACCTTCTTAACCATGAATACAGGCCAAAACCACTGCATAAAATACTACAAAAAGTACACCAGTGGCTGGTTTTAACCCTTTCTTGCCTCCCTTCCCCAATGGCAGCTGATCATCCATCTACTACATGAGAATGAGAACATTCCACTAAGCTCAGAGTGGATCTTGCCCCTAGGCAAATCAAAAAAGAAAAAGTTAAAGTGGACATCAAAACAAGTTCCAAAAGAAGCTACAGCACTCAAGCAATCGTACAATGAGGAAAGGTATGTGGTTATACAAGACTATAAGAAAGTATTTCAGGGAAAAATTAAGAGAAAACATTTCTAACAAAGGAAAATCTAGTGTTGCAATAAAATTGTTAAATCACGGACAGTAATTACAAAGAAAAATATAAATACCTAGTCAGATCTCCCTTATTGCTGAGAATGTATTTCAGATTATTAAGTCCAAATATCCTCTACACATGTATGTTCTCAGCTTTCTTTGTGGATTCCAAGGGAGTAAGAGAAGAAAATTCAGAATAAGGAATCTAATCAACCTTACAAGAAGCAGACTGAACTAAGCCCTGAGTTAAGTAAAGCAGAAGAGTCATCCTTCCTTTCTGCATACTGTAAAAGGATGACTTTTCATAAGTTGTACAGTATTTTAAAAAGTACGTGGACATGATATGAAATTTGAAGTTCTGGCATTGCTCCAGTTTCCTTAGACTACAAAAATATTTATAAAATGCAATTCTTTTTTGCTGAGTTTCTAGAATATACTCAGTAACATGTTAAACAAAATTAGACTACTCAATACATAATGTTTTAAAAAATTCTTTATTTTAAGAATAGCTCACTGTGCAAATGAAGGATCAGCTACCACATATTCCACAAAATTGTATTATCAGCTCAAACTGTAAGATTCAACTATATCTTTATTAAAAGATTTATTAAGCAAAGCGTTCAGCAACTGTTTAAAAATATCAGATTAGGAATAGAATATGATTTCAATTTAAAAAGATATTTTTATATAATGTACATTTCCAGACTTCTGACAAGTTAGGATGACACTCAAAAGGGGGGGAGGAAGTAGCTTGACACTCATGCCAACTTATCTTCACTATTTGTAAAGATCTAACTTCAAAAACATCAGCCATGCCAGATCTTTTCTTTTCCATAATGTGCATCTGTTCACACCAACTGAATTAGAGACCACCAACTTGTCTCATATACCACATCAAACAATAGGCCAGCTTAACAGTTCAGAGCATGATTTAGAAATACAAAATATGTATTCTTTCCCCAGAACATAGAAGTGTTAGCCTACTTTTCAAAGTCATTTTAAAAATATTAAGACATTTGTAAACAAACTGAAGCCAAGATATTTAATACACTAGTTTCTACAACAATTGTTTTGAAAGCCAAGGTTTTGTTTAGCTAGTAAATCTGCTTTGAACTGCATAATCTATAATGGATTTAGTGAAACCTGCATTTTTATTACTGTTCTCCTTTAAAAGTTTCACACTTCTAATAATAAATGATTCATCATACCTGAAGAGTGACTATGGTATAGGCATTCCTCCATTATTATGGAAGAAATAGGGTACATCAAAAGTCTTAAATGACAAGTGACACACATTTTAAAATTATGCATGGAGTGTATGAAAATATACATTGTAAGATTCTTAATTTTTTTTTTTGTAAAGAAACGGCAAGATACTCAGAGTCAGGATATAGACATCAATAAAACTAAATACTTCCACAAGTGCAAAAGCTGGCTCACAGGATCTCATGTTAGTAAGAAAACACAGAAAAACATGCTTTGAAATTCCAGTGGTCTGTTTCCTAGCCTCTGCTTTTCTTTAAAATAACCTGCAAAAAGAAAAAAGTATATTTATCACTGCTTTTATCACTACAATCCAGGCAGCAGTAAGAGATTCAAAATGCTAGGCTACTCAGACCAAAGGTTCACCTAGCCAAACAATCTGTTTCCAAGAGTAGAGTCACCAAGGGTAAAAGTCTAGGGAAAATGTTAGAAATAAAGCAAAAGCATACAGAAAAATGCCGTATCAGAAAGTATTTTTTTAAATAACAACATTCATAACCAAGAATTCTGTAAAATAAAAGTCTTATTTTAAAAATGACTGCTGAGAAATGGCAATAGCGCGCTCAAGCCCTCAGCAGATTCCTTGAAGCTCTTACCCCATTAGGCCTAGACAAAAAGAAAAAAACATAAGATTTGCAATTATACAGCTACTATATTCAATTTTTGTTTGTAATGCCTTATTTCTTTCTATATCAAGAGTGCCCAGACCCTTGGAAGGACATTTTTTGGTTTGGAATTTAAGTTGAAAAATGAACTTCAAAGCCCAAGTGGGACCATTTAAGTGTTAACATTATTAAAACACAGGCAGTTTTTCCTTTCTTCTCATCTTAAAAAAAATAAATGGAGGACAAAAATGTTCGAATAATGTTAAGATTGCAGTTAAAAAGAAATTACAAATGCGTAAGATTCCAACTGTAACATTCACTTGGCTACTCTACACATCCTGTATATATTTCTGTTACTATAGTAATATAAAGTATCAAACTAAACATTTCACCAGAGGGAAAAAAAAAACCTGAAGATAAACAGAAGCCACAGGACCCAAGTATCAGATAACACTGAGTTTTGTTCTTCCAATTTGCCCAGCAGGAGTAGGTGGTTGAACAGATAACTCAATAAATTAAAGAGACTGAGTTCCTTCATGAAACCTAGGTAAAGCAGATGTATCCTAGCGAGTGAAATGAACTACAGAATACAAAAGGATTTCAGTCATAATTTGACACTACTCTTATTCTTTCTAGAGAGAAAGCTGCATAACACCTTCTTTTTTCCCTTCTTTTGCACATACACAAAACTTACCATGCTCTGTAATGCAGAGGACTCCTCCTTCACAGATATTCATACAGCAATTTTTGTTATGCTGAACTACCCATAGAGCAATCCACAGTTTAATCCTCCCTTAGTTCTTCCTTTGCCGAACACATCATCACATAAAGTATCTGTTTGTTCAAGTAGTATCCACACAATGCTGCAAGAATCCACTTCAAACATCTTTCAGACTAAGCAGGTAAGAACTGAAGGTGTAAGAAAGATATTTGACCCTCTTTGAACTATTTCTCACTTGTTCCATAAAGCTTCATTTATATTACTGAAGTTAAGACAGTATGCTTCCTTGATATAGTATCATCTAAAATAAAGATCCTCCAACTCTGGAATTTCCTCCTGTTCCCTGGGCTTTCAGCCCATGGATGCTTGCTGGTAGACTACCGTGTAGACTTACCCACATATTGAAACTATAAATTTAAACATGGAATAATCAAGAAAAATAGGGCTATATTTAATAGGGCAAGGAGAGTTAATTTGATGTTACCACTGTCTTGGTAACAGTGAATTATGCCAATGATGGACTAAAGAACATTACATTTCTGCAGGTTTTGGATTATAAATAAAAACACACCACCACTAACACAGAAAACTTTTGTATATGCTGTCATAATACATTTTACATTAAACAAAAAAGAAAAATATTAAAAATGCTTTATTACCTTTGCTGCAGCTATAGTGTGCTCAGGTTTAATTATTTTACTTTTGTTCTCAAAAGCGTTTGTCCTGGCTTCTTCTGCTAGCCGATGGAGAAACAGTAAGAAATTCAAATGTACCTTTAAAAGAGGGAAATAAAAAAAAAAAAAAAAATCAAGAAGGATTCAAACTGTTTAAGCACATTTTGGTTTTTTAGAGGTTCATTGTTTGAGACAGAAGATTCGCATATTAGACTGCTTCCAAATTCCTGAAAGGTATTCTCAGGAAAACGAAGTACCACTCAGTTCAAGTCTTAATAAATTCCCAAGACATTCCTTACTGCAAGACTCTTGTAAATATAGTTTAAATTCAGCATACTTAAATTGTAAAAGTGCTCTAGAAATGATCATACACATAACAACTGATCTAACAGAAATCAAATCTGATTTTTATTAGCAGTTTTTTATAATAAAACGTTAACATAAATATCAAGAGAATAAGAAGGAGCCTTTTTGCTTACTAGTAAATATAGTCAGCTTTCAGTGGCTACAACGGCCAGACTTTTGATGAACAGCAAATTCATCCCTGCCTTATCACCAAATGGACCACAGACAAGTTCAAGGACTTCTGCCCCTTTCCAGTGCAAAGGAGCATTGACATTAATTTCTCCAGAACAAGAAATTTTCCGCTGTCAGGAGGTTCCATCCATTTTTTCCCAGCTCATCCCCTACTTAACCTTTTTACATGAAAAGAACTGGCAGGGCAGTATTCCGTTCAATACAAAATGCTCCTCTGCTAGTACAGAAGCAGCAAAAATTTCAGCAGGCAAGGAACTGCTCCAACTTGGACTAAAAACTGCCAGCCAAAAGAACCCCTGTGTAATAAGGGACCTATAATACAAACCTCTAGCATTATACAGACATTATGTGAACTATTTTAACAGTCCAACCTGAAAATTGGTAATTGTATCTTTTGTAAATTAAACTTTCAAAATATATTAACCTTGCTATGTAAAGTGTACAAAACCACATTTTCAATCAAGAGCTCAGAAAAATATTACTAAAATACATGAAAATTTTATTTATATGAATTAGGTGATACACTTATTCTGCCACACCTGATCTGCAAAGCTAGAAGTATATAACAAGGAAAGTTACAAGTTAGAGTTTATAGGAAATACTTTGGCAGTGGCTTTAGAGCACAAAGAATCTGTTAGAGGACAGGCATTTCAGCGTTCATATGACAAGCAATTTAGGGGTTTTTTTTAATCTCCTGAACTAAAAGAAGCCAGCGTGCAATAGATAAATGTACATAATATTTGGCATTGTTTGGAAGCATCTACTACACAAAAAGCAGATGTTCTTGCAGATTTATTTAGCAAAATATTAAAGCCGTTTTTAAACTAGTCTTGAGTTACTCACACAGAAATAATCTCCAACAGAATCAAGCAGTGGCACTAAAATAGTGTTCAACATTAGAACTCTCATTACCAGACTTATCAACATGGAGGTTAGATTTCTGGAAACAAGCTGGGGGAGAAGAGGGAGGCAGAAAAAAATCTTCCTCCTGCTGAGATACCTAAAGGCAAAAGTGTTAATTTTAAAACTGCCTTTAAAAACTGCACCTTCTCTCAGAATCACTGTACCTTTATTTTCCTATTTTCAAAGTGAATTGCTGCATGTGGAGAAGCTTCCCCTGAACTCCTATAGATTTAAACATAGTCACATAACTAAAATCAGAACATTCCACAATAAAGCACTCATGTTAATAAATATTCCAGATTATTCAAGGCAACTGAAAAAGGCTAATGAAAGGCAGAATGACTGAATACCATGAATGGGACAGTTACTGACAAGTACCTAAGTGATACCACATTTGTTTAAAGGCATTGCTTTACTACGTATTAGATTATTGTCCCGCTGCATAAAATTTAAAAAGTTTTGAACTGCTCGTGAAAACCACCTTACACAACAGAATGCTTATTTCCCATAAAAGAAAGGTTGTAAAGTTTTAAGAAGGTATGTAAAAACTCAGAACACTGCTTGCAGAGCAACTTCCACACACCTGTTCAGCAGAACTAATGAACAGTAGAAACAAGCCCCATAATATTGTTTTGCTGCCATAACTTCAGAACAATTCTTTAGACTGATATTTTGCCTTCACTGTACACTTATTCATCATACCTATGCCGATAATGAAGAAAAAAGGGGTCATTCAATGCAATACTTCAATGCAAAGCTTTTTCTGCAATATAAATACAAACCTGCCCTTCTAGCATAAAACAAGCTGCTGACTTCCTGCTTTTCTTCTATAATTTCAAGCTAGAACAAGTTTGCAGCTTTTTCTTCTCAGACCATTGGGGGGGAATATCTGAATTTCAGTACTAAAATCTTTCCCTCTTATTTTCAAAAAGATAAATAATTGAGTTCTAAGAGTATTGGAAAAACCTTAAACAGTATTCCTACCTCTTCACTCAAAGATATTATCACACTCCTTCAAAAAAACAGCTTCTTGAGAAAGTTTGATGAAATTTGTTAGCTACACTGTGCACAGAGAAAGACGTTAACACTTAGGAAATAGTTTCTGACAAAGCTTCAAATTTCAAAGAGAGACTTGATCAAAAGAATCTGAAAAGTGAAGAAACTCCATTCAGGTATTTAACAAAATTGTTTGAATTCTTATGTCTTTCAAACTTGTTAGTAACAATCATGTAAGAAGATATTGGTTTATTGAGGAAAAATAATCCCTGAAGGTCAGGAAAAGGAACACAATCTGATTATGTCATAAGCCAAGCAGGCAGACCTCCTCACTGGCTAAGTACCACAGTAGACTCAAACATAAAGCATGGATCATTCAGGAAGATAGCCCAGAAACTTAATTAGCCAATTCTCGTATTTCCCTGCAGAAGACACAAGCACTCTGCTTAAAATGTATATGGTTTTGTCTTGTTAAGACAGGTACTATATAAATTTCTGAAGTATGCAACCTAATCACTCTTACAAGGTTTGTAGGGAATAAGACACACTAAAAAACACTCTCAAAACTTGTTTGTTGTCCAACTACATGACTAAACTCCTCCCTCCTTTTTTTTTTTTAAATAAAGCAAAACTCCAGCTGTGTTGATTATTTATTCATAGAAATAGCGAGCTAAAGAGCTGTTAGCCATGTGCCTAGCTGAACATCATCATGGACGATCACCACCCCTGTTCAAAGATAAAATAAAAAAGCCAAAGCTCCTAACATTAAAGGCCATTTAATTTGACATCACCAGAAGAGATAATCTAAGCTTCCACCACATTATTAAAATTCATTCTCATCTCATCCTTTGCGTTGGAATGAGTATTTGCATAGCCATATTTTAAGCTAGATCAGACTGTTGCTGTTTTATAGTTTGAGTGAATTCAATTCACTGATTGTCTTTGTAGCCCGCGGAACACTAGTGCCAGGACGAGGAGAGATGGGAACCAATGGCCAACATGTGGAGGGATGTCCCACTTACCCTTTTTCAGACAGCTACACTACCTTGAAGCAAAATTAACATGACCATGGAAACACAGACCAACTGTTACTAACGACTACAAAAAATTTTATTAGTGATTGTGTGAGTTTGATTAGTTGACTACCGCATTCCACTGAGTAAGCTTTGACTGGGTCTGAGCATGAATAGCAAGGGAGCAGGTCCTTAGTCCATAAAAGACTCCAAAGATAGCAAAAGCAGTAGGAAGAGATCATATTTTTATTAGACCAATTAGAAAAATATGTACTGTTTACATTCAAATGTAAATCCTCTCATGTAATTACCATATTCATTCATATTAATCTCTTTTTTTTAAAAAATTTTTTTGTATTTACATTTAGCTTCATATATCCAGATACCAACCTTCAAGATGCTATAAGACACAACTTTTATACACATATGAAACATGGACTTACAATTCAAGTCAGGGACCATACTAGTATACAATATCCATTAATGCTCTGAGAATCACACACATTTGAAAACAAGAGGGCATGACAGTTAAGCCCATTAAGTCACTTCAAAGAATATTTTTTTATGCACAGATATTTTTTTTCGGTACGGCAGCTACCACAAGCTCTCTTGAGGTCAGGTTTCCTTGCTGTAGACAAGTAATTTCTTGGTGGGACAAACACTTCCTGTGCCACAAATCCCTTATTGAAGGTCAGAAGGAATCCAGCTTTGTTGGCCTCAGTTTTCTGAAACTTGGTCAATATGGCTGTTATCCCTACACCTTTATGGCAGGTGTTTTTAAACCATGAACAGGATCCCAACACCTTATTCTCCTCATTAGATTACTAACAAGACTCGTCATTCCTTAGTTTTGGACAGAGATTACTTAGATGGCCTTCTACAAAAATATGATCATTCAAGATGCCTTAACAGCTTAGCAACTCATTAATCACAATTCAGTTGATTGATATCTGTATACCCAAATTGATCTACACAAACACGTTACAGCCACATAATCCAAATTCCTATTTCTCAGTCCACCTATACCAAACTCTTTGAACAGCAGTGTGTACATGTAGTGACACAACATTTATGCGTCAGCCTGTCCCTGAATCCCCAAACTCACTGTCAAAAACCTACAATACAGTAGCCACCAGCAAAGCAGAAAGCTGCAATCGCTACTTATTAGTATTTTATTAGACTAACCAATGGTCTGCCTCCACACAAACTTTGCTTCCCCTCTGCCTGTAGGTCACTGCAGAAACACCATTAGTAGTAGCTTGACATCCCATTACACCCAGCAAATCCAAAGTGCTCCAGTGCGCGCAATCCATCGGTCCACGCCTTTCAAGTGAGAAAACATTTAGAGACTAAATGTCCCTCCCCCTGCCCCTAGGCAACCAGAACAGCTGCAGCTGCCCGCCATGGCCACAAGTCCAACTGCTCCCGGCCCTGCGCTACGACCCGAGGCTCCCCGGGGGAGTCTACTCATGGAGCTGGAGGATTCATCCCTCGAGCTCACCACGCTGC